CTGCTCCCGCTGCGCCGCCCAGTCCAGCACCTCCCACGCCGCCTCCCCGCGGTGCAGTCTGCCCGCAGCGCGCAGCAGCCCCAACAGCGTCTCCCCGCTGAGCGCATGGCGGCCCTGGCAGCGGCGGCGGCGAAGGGGGAGGTCAAAGACCATTCCAAGTCACAGGAAACCGGGGGGCACGGGGACGCTGTGCAACAGACACCTTGGAGGCCTACGCCAGGTCATTGTTACTGGATCGATTACCGCATGGACGTCTAAAACGGCTGTTGCAGTTCGGGTCTCATAATAGGATTGACGACCGGTACTCGACGGGGGCCAGCACGCATGCCAGCATGGTCGGTAACACCAGCCATGCAATGTAAGAAACGGTCACCCCGACCCAGACCACACCCACACTAATCACGCCCCTATGCAACCCGTAACCCACAACCCACAACCCACAACCCACGCCACCTCGCCTCCTCCCCTTCCTCCTCACCAGCCTGGCCGCCCTCAGTGCGGGTCCCAGCTTGCCCTGCTGCCCCAGCCGCTCCGCCACCTCCGCAGCCCGCACCTCCACCGCCCCCCCGTTGGCCGCCCGCGCCTCCATGTGACCCACCACCACCAGCTCCGGGGGGGTGGCGGGGACCTGGGGCGGGGGGGAGGATGAGAAGGAAGGAAGGAGAGGAAGGCGGGGGAGGAGGAAGCGGTGATGCAAGCCGCATGGCTGCCCTCTTCCCCACCGCTTCCCTCCACCGCACACTACCTCCAGCCCTACCGCAAAGTGCCCACAGACCCGTTCCACGCCCAGGATTTAATAGGAGTAAGCACATCCTTCTTAACCCCGACACCCCGCAGCCCTCACCTCCTCCGGCGGCAGCGGCATCCCCCGCCCAAGCTCCGCCTCCTCCCTGGCCGCCTCCTGCCCCTCCTGCTCCTCCCCCTCCTGCTCCCCAGCCCCCTCCAGGTGCCACACGCCCCGCCGCAGCAGCGGCTGGCGGTCACTGACCACGTAGAGCTCGTAGCGCAGCAGGGGCTCCTTCTGGACCTGGAGGGGCGGGCCGGGAGGGGGAAGCAGGGCGGGAGGGAGGGGTGAGGGAAGCGGAGGGGCAGGAGAAGCGGGAGGGGCGAAGCTAGTCCTTGGTGCGTGGGGGTTAGGGTGCGGCAGAGGCGGAGTTCGAGGGTTAGGGTGCACGTAAGCGGCAAGCACCACCGGGCAAGCGCGACTGGATCACTCGCTAGGTGGTGCCTAGACAGCACCGCAGCACGGGACAGCCCTGCCTGCCGAGCTCCCTCTGCCCACCACCTCTCCCCGGCCCCCGCTTCCCTCCTGCCGCCCTGCCGCCCACCTTCCTCAGCTGCCCCGCATCAAAGGCCTTCCTGTCCACCTCCAATACCGCGATGCTCACTCGCAGGTAGCTGCCGTCCCCTCCGCCCCCGCCTCCTCCCCCGCCGCCACCTCCACCTCCCCTGCCGCCGCTGCGTTCCCTGCCACCTCCGCCTCCGTGACCCCGCCTGTCGGCTCCCCTCTCCTGCAGCCCCACGTTGGGGCGCATCTCGGCAGCGGGGGCGGTGAGGGCGACGGGCGCTTGCGGCCGCACCGGCGGTGCGCCCTTGGCCATCCACAGGAAGGACTGCGCCACCTGGGCATTGCGGTAGATTTGGATGCGGGTGGAGGTGAGGTCGAGCCACAGGTTGTGGCAGGGCAGCTCGTGCTTGCGGTGGAGGCCGCCTGGGCGGAGGAGGAAGAGGGGAAGGGAGGGAGGGAGGGGGACAGCGGCGACCGATAGGAGGAGGGACGCATGAGGGATGGGCGGGAGGAATCGGGGAAGTAAAAAGGGGCTCGGGATATGCAAATAGCCAAAGTAGGAGCAGGAAGGAAAGCGGGGTCTTGTGAAGAGTTTTCATAGGCGGCTGTCGCGAGGCAGCATAGTGTTGTTGACGCCCATTGGTGCGGCGGAGGTTGGGTGCCGTACACAGTGGGATCGGAAGGGTCTGGCAGCCATACACACACACGCATGCAGTGTGCAGTGTGTGGCATGGTGTGTGTATGTGTGTGTGCGTGCATGCCCCACCCGAGTGTGCGAACACCAGCATGTCCTTGCCGCACTTGTAGGTGCCGGGCGCGGGGAAGGACTCGTTGAGGTACATGGCGATTACCTGGAGGGGGAGTACCGGCGGGGGACGCGGGGGGCGGTGGGATGAGGGGCGACTTAGTGAGGGGCCGTTAAGCTGCAAAGGAAAAAGCGAAGTCGAGGTGAATCCCCGCATGCCCCTCCTTCAAACTCTTGAAGGCGTGTACAGGCGTGTTGCTTCTGCCCGGACACATAACCTTCTGAAACTCTCCTGGCCTCGCCCCATCCTGTTTGCTTACAGCTCCTCTTCCCTTCTCCAGACGTCTTGACACCCTGCATCTGTCGCTCGTCTCCCCCCTTCGGCCTTGCCCCGCTCCCGTTCCTGCCACCCTAACACCACTCTAATGCCTTCCTCTTCACTGACAAACCCCATCGCCCCCCACCCCAACCCGCCCCCACCTGGCTTGGTTCCGCCATCTGCATGACCAGCAGCTTGCGCTGGAAGTGAGTGAGCGCGGAGTGGAAGTGCGAGAAGGCCAGCGGGCTGTCCATGGTGCCTTGGGGGGGGGACACGGGTGTGGGGGGGGAGAGAAAGAAGAAGATGAAGACCAAATGGATGTGAATGGGGGGAGTGGGTACACCAGGTAGCAACCCATTGCAGCCGGTTGCTGTGAGGGATGCAAAGAGCTACCAGCACCTAACCCCCCTCCCCCTCACCCTCCGCCAGCAGCTTCCAGTGCAGCCGCTCCTCCCCCAGTCGGAACGCCGCCAGGTCTGCCGCCCGCAGCAGCCCCGACTGCCCCACCGCGTTCAGCACCAGCGCCCGGGGCACACCGGCGAGCAGCGCGAACTGGCGCTGAGGGGGCGGCGGGGGCGGGGGCGGGTGGCAGGTGGGGTGGAAGAGGGCAATGAAGGGGAGGGGCATGGGGGGGTGAGCGAGCGATGCAGGTTGGATTGGGTGACGTAGTGACGAGGCAATGACCCGGGGAGGGGCGAACCGAAAGTGAAATGCCGTACAATAACACCCTAGCGTACCAGCTAGCATGCTGTATACAACCAGCGACCTACCATGCCCGCCCACCTATCAACACTCGCCGGCAACGCCAAAATAGCTCTGCCTCCCTCCACTTTCCTCTCCCATCGACAACGCTTACGCAGTGCACCCATCCACAGCGCTCCTATGCCCTATCCCGTTCCTCCCCCCCCCCACCCCTACCTGTTCATCCGTGAAGCTACCAAAGTCGATGTGCAGCGCCCACTCCTCCAGCTGCCCCCCGCCCCTGCTGCCCCTGCCCCCCCTCCCGCGGCACCAGCCCGCCAGCAGCCGCAGCAGCTCGAACTCACTGAGCGCCACATCACGACTGCGGACCAGCCGCATGAGGCCCCGCGCGTCCAGGTCCTGGTCGGGCAGCGTGTCAGCAGCGGCGAAAGAGCGAGGTGACACATATGATAGACGCAGCAAGCGGATCAGGCGGATCCGGGGTAAAGCCATGCCTTTGGTCCATTAGGACCACTACGGTACGCCACCACATGCCAGTACCTACTGTTTATCATACAGGCTGTCGTACCCACCTGCACGGCCCACGCCTCCCCAGGCGCCGGGGGCAGCCCCAGCGCTCTGAACTGGTGGAACGCGGCCCAGGCCTGCAGCGCCCGCGCCTCCATGCGCCGCCATACGCGGCCCGCCAGCCGCTGCCGCTGCTCGGGACTCAGCTCGGGCTCTGGGAAGCAGCAGCATGTGCGTACATGCGTAGGGGGCAGGCGGAAGGGGTTAGGAGAGGGTGTGGGTGCATGATTGTCAGCATGCATGCATATTTGCTGTAAGTTACGGCAACAAGATATTCGATGCATGTTTGCTTGTTCCCCTTCCCAACCAGTCCTTATCCCCGTGCCTCAACCCCCACCCCCACCCGCACCATGGCGGGCCCTGCACCCCTGCGCCCCTGCACCCCGCCCCGCCCCTGCGCCCCGCCCCTGGACCCCTGCACCCCTCCCTGCCCCTGCAACCCTGCACCCCCCACCCGGCGGCAGCTGCAGGTGCTCCGGCACGCTGGTGGCCTGGCCGGTGGACACCGCATCTACCCCGCGTGAGAAGAGCTGCGACAGCGAGCGGCACTCCGCGCAGCGGGGCCCCGCCGGGTGGATGCCGGCCCACAGCTGGTACAGCGAGTCGATGCGGCCCAGAAGCGAACCACGGTAGCCGGCAAAGTAGCTGGCATGAGGGGTAATGGGGAAGAGAGAAGAGAGGGTGAGGGGAGCGGGTATAGAGGGCGGGTAGAGTCAGCGGAGGAGCAGGAGGAGGAGGCTCAGCAGCTGCAGCAACGGCGGTCATAGCAGGGTGTCCTCGCTCGCATGGTGTCGCAGCGCCCCACCTGATGAGGTGGCGCATGTTGACGCCGGCCGCCTGCTTCTCGGGGGCCGCATCGTACGGCGCCGGCGGGATCTGCCGTACGGTGTTCACAATGTCCGGATCCCAGATCACCAGAAAGGTGTCCCCGTCCAGGTCGCCTGCAGCAGCGGGGTGGGGGTTGGGGGTTGAGGGCGGGGCAGAAGCGCATTGGTGCGATACAGGGCATGAGGAGAGACGCGGTTGCCGGTATCCGGGGGGGGTGGTAACGGGAGCCAATGGAATATGTGAGGGCCATGTACCCCTTCCAAGCATGCCCGCCGCCTCCTCCGCCACCGGAAGACCCAGCCTCCCAGGCACACGCAACCAACTTTCCCTGCGCTTGCTCACATAACCTATGACGGACGGAACGGACGTGTACGGCTCAGTTCAGTGCCAAACCGAAACCCCTCAAGGACCTCCCCTAACCGCCTCCAGATTTGCCCCCACCCTCTTTTCTTCCCCGCTCTTCTCCCGCACCTCCCGACGCCTCATCCGCGGTGGGTCTGTCCCCCTGCACCGGCAGCACCAGCACGTCCGTGAGGCGGGCGGCCGCGGGGGAGGGTGGCGCCACCGCACTCAGCACCCGGATGTCGCCCGCGTCGTAGCAGGGGTTGCGGATCTGCAGGAGCGGGGCGGGGCGGGAGAGGGGCGGGGCGGGAGAGGGGCGGGGCGGGAGAGGGGAGGGGGGAGGAGAGGGGCGGGGCGGGAGAGGGGAGGGGGGAGGAGAGGCGCAGGGGAGGAAAAAATAGATGTGGGAGTTCGATGGGAGGCTGAGGAAAGAAGAGGAAACAGTAGCAAGGAAGGACGCGCGGTGGCATGCGCGTATAACACCACCACTGTAGTGGAGGCAATGGCGACAACCCATGGTCAACCACCCATGAGCTAACAGCACTTATGCAAGGAAATCCAACTGTTGTTTGTTCGTCCATCACACCTACAAGACCCTGCAAGTGCAAGTCCTAGCAACCGCTCCTTATTTGCTCCACACCCTCAGCTAGCAGCCTGCCATGACTTCCGAAGTCAGCTCCCCCCCTCCATTGGACCCACCATCACCACCTTGCCGCCCACCAGCGACTTGGGCTGCCCGTCCACCAGCGGCTGGAAGAAGCACTCGCCCTTGCGCAGCGGCCGGCAGGAGGCGGGCTGCAGGCAGCCGCCGGGGTCTGCAGGAGGAGGAGGAAAGACCCATGGGTCGTGCCGCTCCACAGCCGCATGCAATGCAGCGCTATTACGCGGGCATGGGGTCTACTCAACAGTCGCGTGCAAGTGCAACTATACACGGGAACCGGAAGCTGCGGACTAACATATCCGCATGACAGGACCAAAGAATGGCGTTACACGTGGTTGCCATCTCGGGCTTGCTGCTGCCAGAGGGAGTCCAACAATGAGCCATAACCCGCCCACCCGCCCCGCCCACCTGCCTCCTCGTCCGCCCACTCCAAGCTGGGGTCCGCCACTCCGAACACCCGCCGGGACGCGTCCAGCCGCACTCGGATCTTGGCGCTCACGCGTGGACCCTGTGAGCCAGCACCATTGCCGCCGACAGCACCACCAGCCGCCACCGCCGCAGCTGCCTCGCCACCATTAGCAGCAGCAGCGGCAGCGGAGGCGGCGCTGTCGCCTCCCTCCAGTGCAGCTGGAGCCGCCGCCGCCGCAGCGGCTTCATCCGCTGCTTCCGCCGCCTCCCCCAAGACATCTGCCGCTACCTTCTCCCCCTCATCTTCTCCCGCCTGCTCCGCCTGCTGCTGCCCCACCGCCTTCCGCGGCCTCAGCGGCGGCAGCTCCTTCACCAGCCGATCCACCTCCTCCCGCTGCAGCTCCAGAACCGCTCGCCGCACCCGACGCCGAGCGGCAGCAGCGGCCTGCCGGCCCGCCTCGTCCTCTTCCTCCGCTTCTTCCTCCTCGTCCGCCGCTGCCTCAAGCCGGAGCCCCCCAGCAGCAGCAGGAGCCATGCCGTACTCCGCAAGTAGCTCAGCCTCCTCCACCTGGCGACATGGATTGGATGCCGTAACAGGAGGGCAGAGCTACGATAGTCTACGCAAGCGGAGGCCGTACATGCGAGCCCCAACCCCCACCCCGAACCCCGAACTCCCCAACCCCACATCCAGTTCCCGCACCTTGTTGGCCGCCAGCAGGTACTTGAGCGCCACCTCCCCCTCCACCCCCATGTGCGCCAGCTCGGCCAGGTGAGCCGCCTGCCGCGCCTCCAGCACCGCATCCGGCACACCCAGGGAGGACAGCAGCATGACGGCCTGCAGCAGGCGGGGTGCAGTGTGGGGTGCGTGGGTGGGCCGTGTGGTGCTAGTGGGCACTAGTGGGGAGTGCAGCTAGGTGTGGTGAACTAGGAGGCGTTAAGTGACAAAGTGCTCTGCTACATACCTGGCTGTTCAGGTTTCCGTACTTGTACGGCCTCGAGTAGTCCACCACACCGAACACCAGCCGCGCCGCGTCTGCTGCTGCGAGCTGCGGGTTGCCACTGCTGCTGCTGGCCCCTCCGGCGCCTCCGCTTCCGCCTCCGTCTGATGACGTGGCGGTGTTGCTGCTGGGTTTGGGGATCTTGAACTTGCACATGGACTTGCGCAGCTGTAGGTGCACTCGCTGCTCGGGCGGGCGGCAGCTGTTCAGCCGGTCTAGCCCGGGCTGGACAACCACGATACCCTTGTAGCCCAAGTAGCGGATCTGCAGGCAAACAGGCAGGCAGGCAGGAGAAGAAGGGGTGTGGCAACGACGTCGTCAGATGCCAGATATTGTTCGGGCATTATGGTTGATGTGGTTTGATTGTATGGGGAAGGCTAAGAAGCCTTGCAAATATTTGAGATATGCGCCTTCGTGAGCCGCACTCGCTGATCTCTTTAGTAAAAGGCGAAAGAGATATGAGAGACGTGGGCGGCTCAGCGCTTGAGTTATCCGGTGCAGGGAGGCGCCACCCAACCCGGCAAGAGTCAAAGAACGTGGGCACGGAACGGATGGTGGGTCGCATATCCGGGCGACAAAACACCAGATGCCGTAAGCCAAACTCAGTCACGCAAGGAGAGGAGGACACCACCAAAACTTCAGTAGCCTTTATCTGTATGCGAACAACTGTCTGCCATGTACCATGCCTTCCCAACACACGTGCCCCATGCTGCTTGAATACGACACGCGGCCCCCCTCCTCTCCGCCCCCCACCCCACCCCGTCCCCCTACGGACCCCGCCCCACCACTCCACCTGGAACACGCTGGGCACGTAGCGCTCCCCCCTGTGCCGGATGCCCAGCTTCCTGGTGAGGTAGGTAGCCAGCTCCAGCGAGCAGTAGCCGCAGCCGTCCGTGAACTTGCCGCCGCCGTCGCGCGTGGTGAGGTCCTCGATGTCCTCGTGCCTGCACGCAAGCAAGCACGCATGGCGGAGCGGACCGAGTAAGGACCGTCAGGCAGCAGCCAGCGGGTTGGGGGCCAATGGTGCATGCAGGTACTCCATCACTGGTGCAGGCAGCTGGGGGTTCATTTGCATGGGTGTCAGCACTTTTATGCATCACCCCCAACCCTTGTCCCACCCCTATCCCGCTCCCCCGCTCCCCACCTGCGCAGGTGCCCCGGCAGCTCCACGGGTCGGAAGCGGCTGAACAGCAGTGCAGTGCGCTTGGCGCGCTTGGCCACGGAGGCGATACCGCTGAAGTCAACCCAGCGGCCCAGCAGCGCCTCAACCTGCGGGCGGGGGGGGGCCGCGGGTAACGTACATAGGGTTACGGTACGTATATTGGGTTACAGGGGGGGCGGGAGGGTGTCAGGTGGAGCGCCTGGGGAGCCCAGGGGACATGACGCATTAGCCCCAGGTTAGCGCGGTGCACGACAAGCCCCTGGACTTGCAGTCTCATCGCCGTCTGTGTCTCTTCGACCCCCACGCACCTCTTGCTGCGAATCGCTCCTGACCAGCACGCAGGTGCGTGTCTTGAGCTGCTCGTTGCTGTGGCCCAGGAAGTGGAAGGTGCGGCCGCCGATGCGCACCCCTGCGTCCAACACCTGCCTCACAGGGGGGGCCACGGAGAGAAAGGAGAGTAAGACATCCAGGGAGGGGCTGCGTTGGCAGAACGGAGGACCTGGCCGCGAAATGCACGAACAGACGCCAGAGTTGCTGTCGTGGAAGCGGTCCTTAACGCCACCCCCCACCCCTTCCGTCCAACCCCTAGTAACGGTAGTAAGGTAGTAAGGCACTAAGAGGGCTCTGCTTTCCCCCCCGTCCCCTCACCTCCTGTACATATTCGCGAGCCTCCTTGGCCGAGCCGAACCTCACATCAAAATGTACGGTAGCGAAGGGCTCTGTGCCGTACGCCATGATCAGCCGGTTGGTCTCATCCGGCCGGCTGGTGATGTACTGCGAAATAGGGGGGCCGGGGCGGGGCCCGGCACACGGGGGTAGCTCGTAGGAATAATGACGGCTTCATGATGGGTCAAGCGTACGGTGTCGGGAACACGGACGTAGCAACAAGGCTACACGCCACGACGTCTACTGCAGCATGCACGCACGCGCGAAGATGCACCGAACCTATGCTGCTACGTAGCAGGCGCTAAGGTTTCCAGTCCCTCTCCGTTCCTAGCATATCCTAATCGCCCTTGTACCCGTATCCACCAGAATCTACCCCTCAGGCCCTCACCCTTCTGCGCACCTTCCCTCACCTCCAGGGTCACGCGGGTGTCCTCCACGCGGATGTGCTTCACCGAGCAGCCCAGCCCCCCCGCCGGCGGCGCCAGCACCTCCTCGAATGCCGGCAGCTCCAGCGGCACCAACTCCGAGCTGTTGGCCTGCGTGTAGCTGCGGCCCCCGGAGGTCGGCACCCCAGCGGGAGGTCCGCGAGGGGCCCTGGCCGCCCGCCGCCGGGTGCCCTCGCCTACGGGCGGCCCGCTTGCGCCACCACCACCGGCAGCAGCACCATTGCCACCACTCCAGCCCCCACCACCCCGACCGCCAGCAGCAGCAGCTCCGCTGGTCGCGGGGCCGGGTCCGCTACCACTGCTACCGCCGCCCCTTCCTCCGCCGGCACGGCCCCATGACCCCTCCCTACCGCCCCTGCCCCTGCCGCCGCGGCCTCTGGCTGGCCCCTGGTTGTAGCTATGGCCGGCAAAGTCAGGAAGAGTCGCTGCACCCGGCCCAAGGGAAGCAGCGCTGGTAGGCCTAACGACAGCAGCATTAGTACTTGCTGCAGCAGCAGCAGCAGCACCTGTAGCAGCGGCGCCGCGGGTATTGCTGCTGCTAGTGGCACCGCTGCTAGTGTTACCACTGACACGGCCGCCGAGGGCGCCAGCATAGCCAGTGCTAGGGTGAGGAGTGGAGTCGGGAGGGCGCCCTTGCTGTGTGCGGTAGGCGCGGTGCTGCTGGTGGTGCTGTTGCTGGGGTTCCGAGGGGTTCGACTGATGCTGCTGCGGGTTGCAACCACCAACCCGTTGCTGCAATGCTAGTCCAACTCTGCCTGCATCCCCGCGAGCGTGACCCCTGTCCTGATCAGCGGCCATGTGGCTTCCCGGTGCCGAGATGCCAAGCCTTTGAGCGCCGCTGCTTTGCCTGGTTTGCGCTGTGGAGGTCGGGCATGCAAGCAGATTCGATTGATGGTTCTACTCGGTTTCATGTCGAAAATGTAGAGCTATAACAAAACGTATACGTAATATTATAGTAAATATATATACATTAGGTGGTGTGTGCTTGTGAATAGGGAGCAGGTCGCGCATACAAACACTGCTGGCGTTGCCTATATAAGCCATTGGTCGAAAAATGTCAACGCTGCCGAGCTAAGCCAGCCGGATTAAAGTATTTTTACCTTCTTCTGTGCACTGCTCATTTTCACAGTTGGTTGCTTGATTGCTATTAAACACTCACCAAGGTCCACCATTCCGCCGGTACTGTTGCGGAAGACCGAGCGACCTTGGGACCGACAAGAACCAGTCTGGTTGCGTTTTGAGGACCTCTTAACAACTACTTTACTGTGGCTGAACAAACTTGAAGGATGTAAGCGCAGCAACATGTGGAGTACTCGAGGCAAGGGCCCTTGCCCGGCGAGGCAGCATCCAAGCACTTCGTCCTAGCGCGACGCCATGCATAGTAAACTAGCGTCGTAACGCATTTTATATGCCAGGAAAGTCAGAGCTTATCGCAAACGGGTACGGTAACCGAAGTTCGGCCTTGTACGAACACGGGTGCACACGGGTGCAGGAACAGAGGTCATATCGTGATTGCAAACAGAACATGAAGGTAAACGGAATATGGTACTAAGCAATAGGTAACCCTTCTTGAGTTAATAGGTGTCACGATTGGAAGTCACGATAGGTAGACGCGATGCCTTCATGGCTCGTTCCAGCAGCGGCGACCGCCATGGTCGGGGTCCTTGCAATTATCTTTCAAGTGGGTTGGGAGCTGCTGCAAAAACTGACTAACACACGTATACTTTGGGGCCAAAGCATGGCGGAAACAGCACAGCGCTTCACAGATGGAATCAGAGGCGTCAGAGAAGCAAGGTTTCTCTTCTACGGAAGAATTTTATTTTGCAATCGGTAAGCTTTTCCAGGGTGTTGTCCATAGTGAGTCGACGTAAGATGGCGCATGCCTGCGGCCGAATGTCGACGAAGGGTGAATCTTTGCAAAGCCCTTGTTTGGTTCAATAAATATTTGCCAAGTAACATTCCTTTACATACTTCCTGCGGCTTAGGTGGTATGAAGGCCAACAGGTGCTGAAGTCTCAGCATTTGCTCATGCGGCTGGGTGATTCCACCGGACTCCGCATCCTTGGAATGTTTGAGCAGGTATAAGCGAACTGCTCTCTGCACCAAATAAGCTAATGGAGAATCAGCAACCCTTGCTTGGCGTTCAATAAATAAGCGACATTTCCGCGCCCAGCAAGTAAGGCGGCAGCCGATACACCCCTCCTACGCCCTTGTTTGCAGGGCATCATTTGGAACAACAATTTGGAACGCTGGAATTCGCTTCGCGTCGTGTTTCATAAGGGTGAGGCTTGCCAGTCGGATGTCTGAACTCTGCGGGTGGAACCCTAGTGTGGGTGGAACCCTAGTGCGGGCGGAAGAGAGTTTTTCATCCCGCACAGCAAGCGAAAACATGCCGACCTGCAAGCGAACAGCGCGCTGGCAGGTGGCTGGCGGTCGTCGTAGGGCTCCCGAAACTCTAAGAGCCTGGTACCGGCGAGTACCGGTACTGAATCGGCATACCGTACTTGTGCCCAGTGCTTCAATAATCCGCCTTGCGTGCACGCGCGACACATTCCCTCCTTGCCTCGCAGCCGTCCAAGAAGGCATGCAGCTCGGCAGCTCCTCCCCGGCCAAGCAGCGCCTTGCGGCCATGTGCCAGCAAGCAGTCCAACTAACCCTGCGCGAGGCGCGTGAGGCCCAAGGCAACCCTGGTGAGCCTGCTCTGGCTTCGCTGTTGCCGGGTGTACGACACGGAAGCACCCGCCACACTCAGCGTCCATCACGTATCCACCGGTACACGACTTCTCACCGTTTCTCAGCGCCACCACTTCTCTTTCGTCACTTGTGACATGCTCAGGTGCTACCTGCCTTCCTGCCATGCCCTCCCCCTCCCAGACCTGCTGCTGGTGGACCTGTTGGACCTGCTGCGCTGCGTCACCTGCCGGGTCACCCTGGCGCTGGCATTTGGACTGCCGGTGGACAGCAGCCCGCTGCGGGACACGCTGGCCCTGGTGCACAAGGTCAACGACTTCTTCAAGGTGGGCTTGCCGTGAACTTCCTTCATCAGGAGGCTTGGGAGGAGGCTTAATAGCTGTGCTGCTTTTATGCCCGCTGCGTTAGGGGATTGGGTTCAGGGGTTGGTATGGTTGTTGGGACAGGATTGGCTGGTGAGGATTGCCGTACCGGTAGGTCTCGCTTCCCTCCCAACCCATTGCTTGTTTAACTTCCCTTATTTCACCCTTGTTGCGACAGGCCTGGGAGTTCTTCCTGCTGCGTCCGGGCCACCTGCTGCGGCTGGTGCGGCCTGGGGAGTACCGGGCCCACAGGCAGGCGCTGAGCAGCCTGAGGGCCGCCGTGGAACAGCTGCTGGTGCGGGCAACAGGGGGCAACTGGCCGCCGCCGGGGGCGGTTGCCGCCAACACAGCAGCAGCGCGTGCGGCGGGTTCTGACGCGGACAACGGCACTGCTGGCTGCCCCTCTTCCTCCTCCCCGCCGTACTTTTTGGCTGAGCTGCTTCGCCGCTTGGACAAGGAAGGAGAGGAGAGGTGGGTTTGGTATGGTGACCGCTTGCATGTCTGTCATGGCCATGAGCTCTCTTGTTTAATTCGTGTCAACTTGCAGACTAATAATATGGGCACATAAAAACGTCGTTGCCCGCTACGTCTGATTACGAGTTCCTCTATAATAGGGACAAAATTAGCCTGCCTATTAGGGGCAAGACGTGGGAACCCCGCAGGCATGCCCCCTCACTCCCTGTGTTCTCTTGACACCCTTCCGCCCAGGCTGTCCCCCTCCGAGCTGGTCCAGCTAGCCCTGGAGATGCTGATCGCCGGCACCGACACCTCCTCCGTCACCCTCTACTACGCGCTGCTCGCACTGCGGGACGACCCCGACCTGCAGCAGCGGGTGCGGGGGGAGCTGGCGGCGATGGCTGATGGTGAGAGGGGCAGGCAGGATCGCAGGATTAACCGTATGGGTGTGCATGATGATGGTGGTTGAAGGCTGCCAAGTATGTTTGCTTTCCATGTTGTGAGGATGCATGGCCACATACTGGCGGTTCTTATTCCAACACAGAAAAGACCGCGCGATGTATGAGGATGGTAACGGTAATTTATGGGGAAGGCAAAAGCCTTGCAAATATTGGAGATATGCGCCTTCGTGAGCCGCACTCGCTGATCTCTTTAGTAAAAGGCGAAAGAGATATGAGAGACGTGGGCGGCTCAGCGCTTGATAATTCCCTGCGCATTGCGGAACCCAGACCCAATGAGGTTCCAGCCGTGAGTGCATGCATGCGATGGTGGGTCAACCATCCGCACCCCCTCCACACCATCTGTTTGCCCTACCTTTCCCCGGCCCAGGTCACTGTCAGTCTCATAGCATTTCATGAATGCATGACCGTTACAATGGTTCCCTAAAAGGGAACATAGCATTACATAGCTTTCTCCCCCCTCTCTCTGCTTCCCAGGCTCCAGCAGCTGCGAGTTGTCCTCCCTGCCGCTGCTCAAGGCGCTGCTCAGCGAGTCCATGCGCTTTAAGCCGGTGGGGCCGGTGGTCATTCGCCGGGCCAACGAGGACGTGGACATCAGGCTGATGCCGGAGGAGGCTGCTGGGGCGGCACCGGAGGGGGCTGCTGGGGCGGGCGGCGGGGTGCTGCGCGTGCGGAGGGGCGACACGGTCGTGGTCAATCTGGCTGACATGCACCGGGATCCCCAGGTGCGGAGCAGGGGCGGGGCGGGGCGGGGCGGGGCGGGGCGCATGGCTGCAAAAGTTTAGGCGCAAGGGGCAGACGTGCTGTACACGTGAATCTAGCTGTGGAGTGTCTTCTTCCGCCTAAACGAAAGCTGCTGCTGAGTGCTTAGCCCCTCGTGTTGCCGCCCGCTGCACTGCTGTGCGCTGCAACCCGCCGTACACAGGTCTTCCGCTATCCCAACACCTTCGACATCCGCAACTTCACAGAGCCGCCTGCCTCCGCCACCTACGGCACCTCCGGGCACCCCATGCCCTCCCTGGACGTGGGCGCGGGCACCACCGCCGACAGGGCCTTCGCGCCCTTCGGTCTGGGCCGCAAGGGCTGCGTGGGCTACCTGCTGGCGCTGTCCGAGATGAGCAGCATCATGTGGACACTGCTGCGCTGCGTGGAGTTGCCCTCGCGAGAGGAGAGCCTGCAGGCTGCAGCTGCGGCGGCGGCGGCGGCGGCGGAAGCTGGGGGTGTCACCGCTGGGGGCAGCAGCAGCAGCCCCAGCAGCAGGGTTGCTGGAGGCGGCTGTGGTGGGGTGGGTGATGCCCTGCAACAACAGGTCGCCCCTCCCCTGGCGCAGCTGGTCACGCACTGGGATGTGGCCAACCAGCCCACCGACTCGCATCTGGTGGCACTGCGGGCCCTGGCGCCTGCGGCGTTGCCGACGGCCCCTCGCACCCCGGAGGGTGAGTGCGAGAGTGCGCATGTGCGTGCGTGGGTAGCTAGGGAGGAGGGGGATGGTGCTCAAGTGTGTTGATGCTGTTACCACTGGCTGATAACCACACCCACACCTCACACCCACACCATGCGTGCAGTCACGAAGCCGCCCCCACGCACGACCGCAAGCCCTGGAGGCAGCAGCACCCTTGCTCTGGGGCCCAGCCCGCCTGCAAGCTTCGCGTGGTCCCTCTTCCTTTCCCTCACAACACCACTACCGCGGCGGCTGCCCGCACCCCGGCCGCGCTACCGCCGGGTGTACATGATCGGAGCGGGCGGGGTGGGCAAGACCACGCTGCTGCAGGCTGCGGAGGGGGCGCTGCGGGAGCTGGGCTACAGTGTTCGCAAGGAGGTGGCTCGGCAGGTGAGATGGGCGGGCTGCTGCGTCTTGCGTGCAGCGGTACCTGCAGCAGGTGTTGGAACACATGCTGGTTTTGGGCGCGTGGGAGGCCTTGCTGGAGGACCGGCCCACCTCATGTATGCGTGCATGCGTCTGTTGTCACACTGCGCCGGACCAAGTTGATCTCCCTTTGCAATGGTACATGACTTTTACAGCGCCTCCCAGGAAAGGACAGGCGTGACCCCGCATGCCTCCCCCGGCCCGCCCGAGTCCCACCCATTCCCCCATTCCTCGTCACGCAGTTGCTGGCCTCCGCACGCCCCGCCATCACCCGCCAGCAGCTGGAGCAGGACGACTCCGTCTTCCTGAACTTCCAGAAGTCTGTCATCCGGCGGCACCACGCATTGGACGCACAGCGGGTGGAAGACCGCGTGCTGCAGGCAGCAATTTCATGGGCAGACATCAGGGCTAGGGCTGCGGCTGCGATAGCGGCGGCAGCGGATGGTGCTGGTGTCATGCCGACGGCCGGTGGCGAGGCGGACGGCGAGAAAGAGGCATACGAGAAAGAGGGCTACGTTGTGAGCGACCGAAGCGCTCTAGATGCGGTGTGTTATGCCATGACGCGGTTCGGTTTCGAGTCACAGCAGGTATGGGGTGGCAGAGGTGGGGGAAGGGTGGTGGGCTGCCCTAGCGTGAAGACATGGGCCGTTGACATGGGGCGTTCTCCCTGCAAGGGCCGTTCTTTGTCCAAATGCATGTGCAACTGCAACAGATGGAGATGCAGCCACGCACACAGGCCTGCTGAACCTCGGTACCTGCCTGCCTGCCTGTCTGCATGACGCGCACGGCTGGCTGCATGCAGGTTAAGGAGCTGATCAACATGCGGGAGATGCAGAGGCTGTTTGGATTCTACAACAACAGCTGCTGCCTGCACATCCTGGTGCCACCCTTCCAGAGAGCCCCTCACAACCACCACAACCACGGCTCCTTCCAAGATGCCGGCAGTGCTGCCAAGGACGCGGCTGCTAGCCACACTGCCCTAGCTACCCAAGCAGGCCCAGCTGCATCACCCGCAGCGGAGGCAGCAGCAGTGGCGGTGGAGGATGACGGAGTGCGCATCCGGAGCAGTCTGGAGGGGCTGTGGCGCTACACGGAGGCGGCTGAGCAGCTGATGCGCTGGGCGGGGTTGCCGTACAGGGTACTCTCTCCGGGGACATGTAGTAATGACCAGCAGCAGCAGCAGGAGGAGGGTGACGAGGGGGGGCGCACGGATGTGGAGGCGAGGCGGGCGGAGCTGCTGCGGATTCTTGGGGGGCAGATGGGCTAGCTCACATTACGTACGGTGACGCATGTGACGGCATGAGACCACATGAGGGGCAGGGTGCTGCCCAAGAGGCAGTCCGTACACACACACGGCTACGGCTTTTCCGCCGTACGAGTCGGGGAGGAACAAGTGCAACAAGCCGGCGCTGAAGTTCAAAGTTAAGCTCCTGAAATGGGAGGATAGGTAACATGCAAGGGCTGGGTAAGATATGTTTCTTCACCGGTATATACTGATTATGTAGTGAGGCCCACCTATAGCTGCATATGTTATATGTATCGGCACACACTCGATAGCATCCATGTGCAGCGCATCATCCCATTGCCTGTTGCCGTTGTTCTCGCTGCACACCCGTTGGCATCCTTGCTGGACAGCCAGCGGTTGGGGCTGTTGCACTATTGAAGAAGACAAGACGGGGGCTTGGTTTCAAAATGACACCTCCTTTGTGCGGGTGAGGGCATGTGGGGGGCACTTGTCGCTCATTAGGGTTGTGATTGGAGTACATGTTGCTCGTTTGTTGCATGCAGTTGTGGTGTTTGTTGCATGCAGTTGTGGTGTTGTTGCCAGGTGTGACAGTGAGAGAGAGTGGTCAAATGGTCCGCTGATGTGGTTCCCGCTTCCCGCCGCACTGGAGGGTCGACGGGTGTGTTGGGTGTCGATATTGAAAGTGTCTTTATCTCACAAGTGAAAGGCTATATCCGGGTTGTGTTTCGTGTGCCGCGGATGTCTACCTGGGTCTGATGAGTGTTCGGTAGGGACGGGGCGGGAGGTGCGGCCACCCTCCTTGAATAGGACATTAAAAAGTATACGTACGTGCATGGCTCGGTGCGTTGTTGCACGCCCCCCTCGGGGGGCGTCCTGGTTGGCACTCGTCTTGCCCCTTGCCGGAGTTAATAATAGTAATACATTGGCCAATAAGCCACGCCCAAACACGAATACCGTACACAGGCTTCGACATGGTCGACCGTATTGCTGTGCAGCCGAACCTACTTAATGCATGGGCAGCATGCCACGTTAGCTACTTCCTCGCCCCCCCCCCGTGTGAGTAATGCCGGGGATGTATGTGACTCTTCATCATTCTTCACCCCCGCCCCATGCTACGTGGATAATTCTATTACCATAATAACCATGGATAACCGGCACTGTCGTACAATACGTGCAGATGAGTCGTGCATGCAGCACCTTCCAACTCGCAACAACTGCAAACCAAGCAACCCTGTCAAGGCATTAAGTGTTTACCGTCCTAATGCATGACTATTAACACTGCGTCATAACCGCACTTGCTACGGCATCCAAACACCAAAACATCACACGATCCAGTTATTGTTTGCACCAACCAACCAGAGCGCAACAAGAAGAACAACAACATCAACCCCTACTCCTAGCACAAGCCAGCAAAGCCATACAGTCAGCCATTTCCTCTTTCCAAAACCCACCTCCTCCCGCCGCCTCACCCCTCCTCAACCCGCCTCTCCCCACCCAGGCCACAAGCCCCTGCATCCCCCTTCCTGGATACTCCTCTCCGTCCCACTCCTCCACACTCCTTCCTTTCCTTCTCACGTGAAAAGAAAAGAAAAGAAAGGAGGGTGAAAAGCCGCCCAGGGAGGACAAAGCAGGCCAACCTCTGCTCAAGCGCGCCCGCCCCCGCCTCCATCCTCCTCTCCCTCCCTTCCGTCCCACCCACCCACCCACCACCGCCCCCCTCACCCCTGCAGCTCCTCCGCCCCCAGCAGCCGCCTCCGCAGCTCCCGCAGGTCCGCGGGCCGGCCCGACAGCGCCACCTCCACCTCCGCACGCACCCGCTTGAGCACCGTGTTGAACTCCCTGGAGCGGGTGGGAGTGGGGGGTGGGGGGCGGGGGGTGGGTGGGGATGCGCGTGTGAGGTAGAAGGAATGGATGTTGTCATGGGTGGTGGTGGGCGGTAGGTGGGAGCAGGAGAGGGTGGAGTTTTAGGGTAGGGTTGGGGCGCTCACAGATAAGGAGGCGAGACCCAGGCAGAAACCGGCTAGCCACACTTGCAAAAGTACATACAACCGGTCTTTATCACACTGCGGCGCGTATCTTCGTCGCGGCACGCATCCGCCCCTCTTCCCTCCCTCCCTCCCGCTCCCCACATGTACGACGCCCCCATCTGCAGCCACGTGGCATCCAGCATGCAGTACGTGGCGCAGTACAGCTCCTCGAACGCCACGTCACTGCCGCGCAGCAGCCCCACGAACCCGCGGGCCGCGGAGCTGCGGGGAGGAGCGTCTGCGGGGGGGCTGCTGGAGCCGTTGTTGTGGTTGTTGTTGGCGGGAGTCTGGAGAGGGGCAGGGGAGAGAGGGGAGCGCTCAGGCTATTGGGCTGCTGGGAAAGGGCGGGGGGCATGAAAGAGGACGTAGAGGACGGCTTAACATCACATGGTGGGCGGTGGCAGAGTGTGTCCCTCCCCGCTAGCGCGCGTCCTCCCACCTCGCGCTTTCCAACCAGGCCCTCCTTCACCCCACCCCTCTCCCCCCCACCCCATGCAGTTCCAGCAGCTCCGAGAGGGCGAAGGTGATGTTGAGACCCGCCACCGCGAAGGGGTACTCCCACTGCGCCCGCACACCGTCGCGCTTGTCAAGCAGGCGCCTGGGTGAGGGGCGGGGCGGGATGAGGGACAGGGCAGGGCGGGGGACGCCGGGATGTAGAGCTCTGCTGTAGGCCGGACAACGGGAGCGAACGCTGCGGCACCATGCTGCCTTCCTCTCCTCTCCGCTCCTCCCTCCTCTCCCCCCTCCCCCCTGCTCCCCCACCTGAACGTGTCGGGGTGCACCTCCGCCAGGTAGATCAGGTTCTCCAGCCCGTGCAGACCCGCACCGCGGAAGTCGGTGGCGGGGTCCTCGCCCTGCGTGGACCGGGGGCAGCGGGGGCATGTGGGTCGGACACGTGACGGGCTAGGAAGGACGCTGTACTAAACCCTTCCTCTTTGCGCCCTAAACTACTCTTAACCATGTTTTAAAGGACCCCCCCTCCCCACACACACAATTCCCATCCCTTCGCAGGCTTGCCGGCCTTGTCACACACTCCCTGTCTTCCAGGACCTCCACCCCGCCCTATACCCCGCCCCGTCCCATCAAGCCCCCATAAGCCCCACCTGCCAGCCCATGTCCTTCCACTTGGCGCTCTTGAGTGCAGTACAGGGCTCCCCGGCGAATGCCAGCGACCACAACCGCCGCAGCAGGTCCTGGAGGGAGGGAGGGGAGAAGGGGGCGGTGGGTGGTGTTCGGTAGCAGCAGGGGAGGGGGGGGTGCAGGTGGCACGGAAAGGGTGTGGGTTAAGAGCGGTGAGCGAAGGGGTGGTGGTGAAATGGTGGCATGGGGTGGGGTGAGATTAGCTGGTAGGGACGGCGTCGCAGCGAAGCGCAATAAGGGGCCGCTCGTGCAACCACCCATTGCCCGGTGCCGCTCTGCTCCCATGTGGGTCGGAGCCGCCGACCCAGATGGCTACTTCCACGCCGCCACTACGGCCACTACAGCACCCCCCAAAGCCCCCATGCGCCATGTTGCACGAGACAGATGTGGCGCGGGGCAAATGGGACAACTGTCATATCTGCCCCCGCCTCACGCCCTCCCCCCCCCTCACCTGGTGGTTGGGGTTGCCGATGTCAAACTTCTCCGCCACTCGCTCCCGCAGCTGCTGCAGCCGCTCAGCCTGTGCAGGCAGGCAGGCGGGCAGGGACCGGGCAGGGACCAGGCCAGCGGGGCAGCGGGGTGACAGGGCCGCCAGTGAGACCACCAGGGGGGCAACATGGTGTACGGCATGAACCCTACAACATGCCTACTAGTGCAGCGGGCATTAGGTGTTGACCCGTGCAAAACCTAAACCCAAACCCGCCATTTAAGTTAAATCCTGGACGGGCCTTGTAGCTGCGACCCAAATCTCCCAAGCCTGCGCCCCTTGTATATATCCCTCTAGACAAGGAGATCAGCGTCAAGTACAACACTGTCTATGGTATCCCCCGGCTCAAGTACAACACTGCATATGGTATCCCCCGGCTCAAGTACAACACTGCATATGGTATCCCCCGGCTCAAGTACAACACTGCATATGGTATCCCCCGGCTCAAGTACAACACTGCATATGGTATCCCCCGGCTCAAGTACAACACTGCATATGGTATCCCCCGGCCCCCAACCTGCAGTAAAGACAGCGGCTGATCCCGAGCATACGGCCACAGTTGGGACGCGTAGGACACGATCTGGCCTGCAGTACAGCACACAGGGCGGGGCAGCAGGTTGGGGTCCGGCTATAACAAACACCGCAGAGAGAGACGAAAGATTGCCCCTAACAGGAGACCCAGCAGTGTGTTTCGTCCTGCGTGCTGGTAAGCACCCCTTACGCCTCCATGCAACCCAAGCGGGCTGCGAAGCTCTAAGAAACGCAGAGGTTCTATGTCTGCCACAGCGTACGGCAGGTCCGAGGGACCCACCAAAGAGGCGGTTCCACCAGTCAAGGATCGACTGGATGAACGCCTGGAGGTTGAATTCGCCCGGGTGGACGATGATGGCATGGCGGTTGGCATGCCGCTGGCGCTCCTCCTCCTCTAGGTTCGACTGCTCGGCGTAGTCGGGCAGCAGAGACTCCGTGAGCGCGTCTTCATCTGGGAAATGGGTTTGGGGTGAGGGGCGCTGGGTAAAAGCAGCCGTGGGAACGAGAGTGGGTATGCAACAGCTGGAAGACGTGGCAGGATACGTGTCGGTAGGAGTGTTGCAAGCCCATAGTCTTCGGACCCCGAAGCCACATTTACACGTAACTTGTCTTATTAACACGACTAATAAACTGCAACGTACCCTTCCCATACTTCCTCCGGCGTACGCTAGCCATTTGGTGAGCGAAGCGCAACTTCCGCAGTCGACACGACCACAAGGCCCGCACGAATACCCAGCGTTTCTAACAGGCGCAGGACAGACGTCGAGCAATCCAGGAAGAGCTCATTATGCACAGAGGAGCAACCGAATGTCTCAGATTTAACGCCGGGCCTCGCAGGATTATTAAGTGGTTGTGCATATACTAAGATTCGGAGTAGGAGCAGATGGAGCCTGGAGAAAGCACCATGAGGGCTGGATTGTACGGGGCGAAGCAACACCTTCAAGTACGACCTGTCTGGACTTTCTTAACCACCGCTTCGGACCGTCCTACTTTCAAGCGATGTACTGGTTATTTATAAATTAAGCTACGCAGACTTCTGTAGCTCTCGCCGGGGACACCTTGCCCTAGATCACTAAATTGACCACTTTAAGTTGATAGAGGAACGAGGTTTGTGACAAGCTCTTAATTAACCTCTCCAACAGTTAACTAGCTGTTCAATAAAGATGCCCGCAAAGCGTCAGAATGGCAAGACTGCAATGGAGGAGGTGATGAGCGGCGCCACGGAACGCGTTCTTAAGCAAATAACGGAGCTTTACGAGCAAGGCTTAAGCGGAGGCCCTGGATCAATCGGCCTGAAGGTAGAATTTGATGAATTTGTTGAACACCGCAGGAAAGCTAAGGGCTCACACCTTATTCCACCCGTTCCTTGCAGGCCATAGCCGAGAGCCCCTTGCTTAAAATGCAGATGCGTAAGCCCCGCAAGAAGATTAGCGTTATGATAGTCGGGAACCACAGCGCGGGCAAGTCCAGCTTCATCAACTGGTATGTTTGGACAGCTGTTGCCCGCGGCGAGGACCCGATCGAGGATGTGTTGGTCGCTTACAAAGATACCCGTTTGCACCTAGGTACATCGGCGAGGCTATCCAGAAGACTGGCGTAGCTATCGAGGTAGGTACGGGCAGGCGTTAGGCATACGTGGGTTTGCGGGCTGCACGGTGCTGTACAGGCGTTCCCCTTCCTTGGTACGCTCAGCATCAGATGTTTGGGGTGCAACGGGGACTATTGTACTTGTACTCAAATGTACGAAGGTGTGGGTTGCCTTCATACTTGGAAGGCAAGGAGGCATCCTCCCCACAGTGCACGTCCACAGGAACCCTTGCGCGGTTGTCATAGTTCAAACGAAGACTGCCATATGTACGGCGTATCCAGGTGCAGCGTTGCTCGTACATCCATGGTGCAGTAGCTGCCCCCGCAACCTAAGTTCATCAGCATGGTTCCTGCATACAACACGGTAGCGCACCCTACCCTATCCTGCCCTACGCGCGGTATCTCTCCTTTTACCCCCGTCTCCCATGATTATGCGGCATCCAGACGCGCGGCTTCACATTCGTGACGTCGGGCAAGAAGCGGGAGACGCTCCAAGGTGACGCCACCGTGCGCTTCTACGACCACCTAAACGAGTTCGGCAAGTTCCAGGGCGTCATGGCGAACCTGTTCACCGGCGAGTCGGGGACTGGGATTAAAGGATGGGAGCAGCAGTCGCTGCTAGCAGAAGCGTTTGTTGTGTGTGCGGCGCTGGGTTTCCGATAGCATAGGTTAAGTCCATCTGGGTCGCCCAGAGATCACACGGACCCGCCACGTGGTGTCGGGAGGGCCTCCAATCGTCTTCATGCCCTGCGTACTGCACCCTGCTGCCGACCCACATTGCTTGCTAACCCACATCGCACCCCGACCCACATCACACGCTGTTGGTCCTCCTCCCAGAGATTAGCACAAGCCGGGACAAGAACTTCTCGTGCGTTGACCTCATCGACACGCCTGGCCTGGTAGATGGCGAGATGCAGGTGGGCGGGGGAACAGGCGGGTAAGGAGAGGCGAGTAGGGACAGATAAGCATGGATATTGGTTTTGCATTCCACATCCGTGCTCACAGACGAAGGATACCGCTGGTTGTGTAATATGCCCCTTACATACGGTACCCCATCTTGCCATCCCTTCGCCGTTAGTTCTCCGCCTGTGGAAGCATGACCAGCACCCTTAGCGTCCAAACAAGAGACCAATGTCAAGGCTCGGCCAACCCAGTTGACTTCCTCGCCACCAACCCCGCCTTCTCCCCTCCTCCTGCAGTATCCCTTCAATGTACAAGATGCCATCATCTGGATGGCCGACCACGTAGGTGGTGCAGCGGCCCCGCAGCGGAGGGTTGCAGGGTCGGGGGCTAGGGCCGCAGCAGGACGGCTGCCGCTGGCATGCATGCGGCTGCCGGGACGAATGCTCCGCTCCTGTATTGATGGTGTCCTTGAATGCTGACCTGACTAGGCCTGGTTCAATAGCAGAGGCAAACAAAATAGCAGAGGCAAACAAAGGAGACCAACGCTGCCTACCGGAAGGGTGCATAGTAGGGCAGTATTAGCACTGTGGTACCTGCGCATGCGTCTAAGGATGCCTTTTCCCCTTTGCACTTCCCCTACAGGTCGACCTCATCCTCGTCTTCTTCGACCCCATTGGTAAGCCGGGTCGGGCGCATTCTTTGACCCATGTAACACCGTTGCCCGCGCGCCAAGCTATTGGCGACCCATTACCTCGGCCTCCGAACCCCTTCCAAGCTCCCTATATCAATATCCCCTCGTTTCTGTCACGCCCTGCGCCCTCCCCCTACAGGCCAGGCGACCTGCAAGCGCACCATGGAGGTGGTTGAGCGCCTCAACAACGGGCCGCACCTGGAGAAGATCCACTACTTCATGTGCGTGGGCGTGGGGGGAGGAGAGGGGAGGAGGACGGCTCGTTGGGGCGCGTGTTATGGGTTATGGACATGGAGGAGGCAGACGAGGGATGCATGGCGACTAGTAGCCCTTCAGGAACAGGCAGGGAAGGCATTGACGGACCAGTGTGTGGTGATTGTCATGTGCGGTAGCCACCAGGGACGTGCGTCACGAACAGCCTTACTGGTTTTAAGGTGTCCAACCCAAATGAGGGGGATGCACGCTACACCCAATGGCTGACCAGGTCTGCCTCCACCCGTCCTCCCTTTCCTCACAGGTCCAAGGCGGACGCCGTAGACAAGGTAGGCTGTGCCCATGGCATGTAGCGCGTTTCGTCGCATAGCACTGGTCGCCCTCATGTCGTATCACATATGTTCATGTGCGGACACACCTCACCGGGTCGCTTCAGTTTGACACATACTGCACGCTTAACCCGTGTCCTTAAAGCTCCTGTTCTCGTTTGGGCCTTACAATCTCATTGCTTATAACAGCTCTCCCACCTCGCCCACCCCTGCACACACCCCTCCTCAACCGCAGGAATCGGACCGGCAACGCGTGCTGATCCAGATCACGCAAAACCTGGCGACCAAGATCCGCAACAGCCACGCCTTCAACCTGCCCACCTTCTACCTGCCGCGAGAGGACGACTGCACCATCCCCAACGCCATCGAGGATGTGTGCAAGGAGATCGACAAGGTACGTCAAGGTCGACAAGGGACGGCGTAGCTAATAATGGTGCACAGTCCTGCTCGACATGCCAACAGGGTCAGCCATTGTACAGCCGCTTTGGGTCACGCGATTGGGTAACGCCCATGCCCAATGTCGCAATTTACTGGGCACACCTTTCACAACATGTCTCTCGCCCGTTTTCCCCGCCCTTGTTTCCCCCCTTCTCAGGCCATCAACATGACCGTCCAGAAGAACCTGCGTCAGCTCAAAGGCGACTGCGAGCGCATCGTGGAGCGGGTGGGCGAGGTGCTGGCACAGGACAAGCTGCAGCGCGCGCGCAACACGCAGCGCACGCTGCAGGGGCTGCTGCTGGCGGTGCTGACGCTGGGCGCGGTGGGGCTGATGGTGCTGCTGCTGGCCACCCGCTTCATGGACACGCTGTGAGTGGGCGGGCAGGGCGGCGGGAGGTGGAGCGGGCTGTGTGCTGTCCTCACGACGTTAAACGCCTGCATGTTCACTTCCTTGTCACTCCTGTCTGTGTACGGTGTACCCAGCTGCGCTCCTGGGCGTCCTGGCATTGTAATTCACATGCGTAGACCTCCACACGCCATGAATTGGTTTTCCGCCACATGCTTCCCTCTGCCCTGTCAGCTGCGCGGACGCACTGCTCGGGGAGCACTGCCGCAAGGACCGCGCGGCGCAGCGGCTGCTCAAGCTGCAGCCGCTGGTGTACGGCAACTTCACGGCGCTGCTGGGCTGCGCGGCGGGCATGGTGCTGGTGCTGATGGTGGCGACGCGGGTAGGGCGGCATGGGCGGGGGGGCTGGAGCGTGAAAGCAAGGAGATGTTAAAAGGTCACTGGGGTCGTGTTACGGAAACCGAGTGTGAGTTTCTTGCATTGATGTGCATCTTCTGCGTTGGCTACCCGTTCGCCCACGAGAAGATGCATGCACGTGCTTATCATATAGCAGGCCCAGCCGCAGTACCCGCCATTTCCCCACACCCCTCTTAACCTGTTCCGCTCTCCGCCCCCCCCCACGCCCCCCGCCAGCTGACGTGGCGCACGCAGCCGGTGCTGACCAAGAAGGACATGAAGAAGCTGGACGAGTACCGCGCGTACGTCACCAAGATTGCGGAGCAGGAGGGTGGTGAGTGTGGCGGTCGCGACAACACCAGCATGCGCGGGACTCGCGGGAATCGGGAAATTGACAGTACCTGCCGCGAAATTGCCGGAATTCTAGATTGACCATCCTTCAGCCTAGTGCGCCAGTACGTGCTTGCCCTTTGGGCCATCGCCTGTGGGTAGTCTCTATCTGGGCAACAGGTCATCTGCAGCTAACTGGAATTTCACCTCATGGGAACAATGCACTCATTTCCCTGTTGCACCCCGGCACATGCTACCCCCGCTGCAGGGCTCTACAAGGAGTACTTCAAGACGCTCTCGTCCATGGAGCACTAGAGCCCACCAGCGACCAGCGTGCCAGCAGGAATGGGTGCCGCTGCTCTCACTGAGGGGTGCCGCTGCTGTCGTACGGGGGAGGTGGATCATGATAGCCCTTTGGATCTGCTTATGGCCGTGCGGCTTACTACCCGATTGATGCTACCAATCGGTGCCGTCCCAGGCAGACCTTCTTGGCTACCCTCTTGGACCGGCGTAAGCGTGGCAAACAAGGGCGGGTGTTCGAGACCGGTGTGACCTGTAGTGTGCGCTTTCATAGGACGGCTGTTCTTTGCGCGTACGCAGTGACCCGATACGGCGTGAGGGAGCGAGTGAACCGGTGGAACAGCGGGCTGCTGGCCTGCTGCTGCTGGTGGTGGACAGGGTCCGGAGCGACGGTGGTGACATTACTGAGTGACCGCAGCGTTATCAGGGTGCACGGAACTGGGGACAGAAACAGGATCAGGCGGAGGACCTTCAGGCCCTGATTGACAGACTGACGCAGGAGTGCAACACCCGGGATTGCTGAAGGGCAGCATGTGTGTCGGTGTATGGGCGCTTGCCTGATGTCGCAGGGCCGCAGAGCTGCGCGTAGGCAAGAGGCATGCTGGTCATGTTTGTATGTTGCGCAAGGAGGACAAGGATGGCTTTTGAATACAACAGCTGGCGTGTGAGGAGGCATCATCCCTGTAACGGAGGGCAAGGTGTCTACACGACGAAAGGCATTCCTACAACATTGTGAAAGAAAACGAAATGATGCTGAAAATTAACTATATACGTAGTCTAATGATAACTATTTTTTTCCCTTGGTAAATGTTAGGCCGCATCTCATCCATGGTTGGCAATGTTGCGGAGAGGAAGTCTGTCAGGCAGCAACATAGCAAGGATGACGGTCGGTTAGCGTACGTAACGCGTCTAGATCACACCACTTAGGAGGCCAATGACTGGCCACGACAGTTGCCGCATTGCTGTCCAATCCCTCAGCCTTATTGCAATTCGCGCAACCAAAGGAGAATGCAGGCGAGCCCGAACCTCTGACGAAACGACACCTCGTTCCGCCGTACCAACCAAAGCTTCGCGCTAGCTATGACCCGTGGGTCACAGCGCCCAATCCGCAACATACGCTTTTTTCCAGTTCGATATCACTTTCTATGTCAATTGGTCCTCAATTGCTTTGCACATCCGCTGCGGCAACAACAGCCCGTGCGTATTCCCGGCGTTCGCGCTTCCCGAGTGCATTCTGTCACAGCTTTCCTCACTTGCCTCTCTGTACCTGTATTCGCGCCAGACACGCGCGTATAACGCATCTGGTCTTCCACCGAATCCCTCATCAACCCAAGCACCTGACGTAAAACGGCCAACAAGCTCCTCCGAAATGGACACTGTCGCCGCCATTCCGGCTGCCATCGGAGAGCCTGCGCGCTTCAAGGGCCGCAATGCGCGTGAGGAGACCGCTGCTGGTGCGGCTACTACTGCGGAGCTGGCCCCTTCTGGACCCGATCAGGGCCCGGAGGCCCCGCAGGTGCGGGTGCAGCAGCAGCAGCAGCAGCAGCAGCAGCAGCAGCAGCAAGCCCGTCGTCACCTGGTTCCGCACCATCATCATCACCATCATCATCAGGAAAGACTGCAGCCGCAGCTGCAACAGGAGCAAAAGCAGCTACAGCTGCAGCCGGAAAAGGATACGGTGGGTAGCGATGGCTTGTGAATTCGCGGCGCGGTGAGGAACCGTGGAAGGAACCTTGATTGTGTAAATTTTTACAAACGTTATGTAGCTAACTCGATGGGCCGCAACTCCTCCTTCTGTCGTGGTTAAGCCAGGAATTCCGGAATGCGCTAGCTACTATAGCGCCCGCTGCTGCTGCCAAGATTACTAGTTTAGGCGTCCCCTGACAACCGCATTGGGCAGCAACTCCACGCTCATGGAGCTCATCTCACTGTCCCAAATGTCAACGTGCTATAACTCCTATTTTGCGTTTTCTGATACCTCTTGACGTACGGCAGGCATGCAGGGACAGAAACCTGCTTCCTTCGCGCGCACGCTTTCCTTCTCCTCTGCACGCGAAACAAACACCGCTGCTGCTCCCTGCCTGCCTGCCTGCCTGCCTCCCTCACCCCCCGCCCCTGCCTGCCTCCCTCACCCCCCGCCCCTGCCTGCCTCCCTCACCCCCCGCCCCTGCCAGGCCCCCGCCCCCTCCCTGAGCCCCTGGGGTCAGGAAACGCTGCGGCAGCGCTACCCGCAGCTGTCGGAGGACGTGGCGGCGGAGGTGGTGGTAGTGGGCGGCGGGCTGGCGGGGCTGAGCACCGCGTACCGCCTGGCGAAGGCGGGTGAGGAGGGGGGAGGGGGAGGGGCGGGAATGGGTGTAAGGCAAGTGGGGGGAAGCGGGGAGGTGGCCGCTTAGCTCGCATGCGTTCACATTGCCTTTCTTTGCAACCGTCCGCTCCTATCCCCGCCTCGTGGCATGGCTCTGATATCTCCCTTCCCTTTTATAATGTCTCCGTACGCGCTCACTGCATGTGTCGGGATATGGGTTTGGAAGTCAAGTTTCTGCACTTCTCATTTACGTTTCCCCCTTTCCCATTGCGGCACCCCACCCACCCACCCACCCACCCACCCACCCACCCCCTTCTCCCCCCCCCCCAGGTCGCAGTGTGGTGGTGTTGGAGGCCCGGCTGGTTGGGTCGGGCAGTGCGGGCCGGGGGCTGGGGCAGCTGAGCACATGGGTGGAGGGTAAGGGAGGGGGGGGTGGCTGGAGGGCCGGAGGGAGGGTTGGGGTCGTGAGGGGCTGTGACGAATGCGAGGAAGGCGGAGTGCGTGGGAGAGGGGGGGAGGGAAGGAGGGGTGGTGGCATGCATGCATGCATGGGCGTACTGCACTGGTCCAGGCGTTCGTGACTCCCCCTCCTCCCCCTCCTCCCCCCTCCTCCCCCCTCCTCCCCCCTCCTCCCCCCTCCTCCCCCCCCTCCTCCCCCCTCCTCCCCCCTCCTCCCCCCTCCTCCCCCCTCCTCCCCCCTCCTCCCCCCTCCTCCCCCCTCCTCCCCCCTCCTCCCCCCTCCTCCCCCCTCCTCCCGCCAGCCGGCTACCTGCAGGTGGAGCGCACCTGCGGCCCCGCGGCTGCTCGGCAGGTGGCGGCGGCGCATGCGGCGGCAGTGGGGTTCGTGCGGGGGGTGGTGGCGGAGGAGGGGCTGGCGTGCGGGGCGGAGGAGGTGGAGGGCGGGGTGGTGGTGGAGGCGGAGGCGGGGGCCGGCGAGGAGGCCAGGAGGCGGGCGGGGCTGGCGCTGCGGGAGGTGAGGGGGTGGGGAAGGGTTTGGACACGGGTTTCCTGGCAAATCATGCGATTGCAAGGTTAGAAGGGGCGAGGGTAAGGGAGCAGGGAGCGGGTGTGAAGGCGGGTAGTCCTGGCCCCCCAACCCACCATCACAGATGGGAAGGGAGCTCAGATGCCTGCCTGGGGGTTAGGTCCGGCCGCTCTCATGAGCATTCATACTTACCTGGCCCGTTTCTCGAGGTGGTCCAGTTGGCCTCGGTTACACGGTTGGACTTCGCCTTGCACTGCGCGAGGGCCTTCCGTGGTCGGCCCTTCGGGAGTCCGGCAGGGCTTAATTTTTGTAAGGCTGAGGATCTGCGCACTGCGCGACCTCGGCACCCAACAAAATTTAATTATTTATTGCGAAGAACGTTTTCTTCTTTGAATATATTTGTTGTCCGCATCCCGAAGTACTCCCTTAACCCTTACCTAGACAAGCCTCAAGGCCTTCAATTTCCTGCACGCACGCACAACAGATGCTAAGTCGCCTTCTCTCTTCGCCTCTTGTTCAAGTACTGGCCGGGAATCCGTACGTGTCTCGCCCTAAACGTCCCGCATCCCTCAAACACGCCCCCTTCCTCCCTCCACCACCTCCTCCCCACTCACACCCTCCCCCTCCCCGGGAACCTGCCGCCTCCTACCCCTATTGCTTTACCCTAACCTGTGGTTTCCTATGGTTTGGTATGGTCTTTGACCCCCCCTAGGAGCTAGCCGCCTGCCTGCGAGCCGGAGTGCCCGGAGCGCACATCCAGAGGCAGCGCCGCGAGGGCGAGCCGCCCTCACCCGCTGCCGCTGCTGCTGCTGCTGCTGCTGACTTTGATGCCTTCGACACCGCCCCCGCCGCTGCTGCTGCTGCTGGCGGCGGCGGTCACTGGTGTGAGGGCAGCGAGGAGGTGCTGGTGCTGCCCGGCTGCATCAACGTGCACCCGCTGGCGTACCTAAGCGGGCTGGCGGAGGCGGTGGAGAGGAGAGGTGGGAGGCGGGCGGAGGGGGAGGGGAAGGGAGTGGTGGGGGTGGCTGTTGGGGCCGATAGTCAACAGGGCAAGAACGGGGTCCTGCGGGGCTGGGGGACACGTAGGTCCCCGTACAAGCTGTTCTCCTTGACCCATGCACCTTGTGAGCGCCTCTTATTCTCTTACCTATGCTCCTCTCCTGCTCCCCACCCCTTCTCCCTCCCCCCCCCCAGGTGGCCGCATCTTCGAGCTGAGTCGCGCCAAGGGCGGCACCGTGACGGGCCCCTCGGGCGGGGTGGTCAAGACCATGCATGGACCCCTGGTCAAGGCCAGGTGGAGGGGGAGGGGGGCAGGGGGGAATGAGGAAGGGCGCCGCCCCGCCCACCATACAGCCATGCCCTCCCTATGCATCTGCCCCGCCTACATCCCCCCTGTCTGCCTTCCCTTCCCTTCCTAACTCGGTTCCAGTCACCAGGAGCTCGTCGGCATGTTTGCTATCCTCATAGCCGGGGTATTGTTCTTTCTCCTTCCCCCTCCCCCCCCCCTGCATGCATGCAGCCACGCGGTGGTGCTCGCCACCCACAGCCCCATTAACCGCAACCAGTTGTGGGTGCACGACAGGCAACTGCCGCGCAGGACGTACGCGGTGGGGATTGAGGTGAGGGGGGAGGGGGTGGGGGAGGCGTGTGTGTATGTGTATGTGTATGTGTGTTTTGGTATTGCAAACGCGTGTACTCGCTGCGTGTGTAACCGTATAGCTTACCGTCCGCCTCTTGCCACTCCTAAACCTCCCTCCCCCCTCTTCCCCCCTCTTCCCCCCTCTTCGCCCCTCCCCCCCCAGGTCCCCCAAGGCTCCGTGCCGCCCCACACCGCCCAGCTCACCGCCCTGCCCACCCCGCCCCCCTCCCTCTCCCTCACCTCCCTCTCCTCCTACTCCGCCCTCTCCGCCCTCGCCTCCGCCGTCACCTCCACCGCCACCTCCGCCCTCTCCACCGGCCTCAGCCTCCTCAACCCCCGCACCTACCTCTCCTACCTCTCCGCCGCCTTCAAGCGCGCCTCCTCCGCCCCCTCCGCCCCCTCCGCCTCCCCCCAAGGCCACCAGCGCTTCTCCGTGCGTCTGGCCCCCCTGCCTCCCCAGCTGCTAGCACACCAAACCTCCCTGGGGCTGGGCGGCGGCGGGGCGGCCACCAGCTTCGAGGGTAACAAGGAGCTGCTGGTGGTGCGGGGGGCGGAACACCACCATGGGCAGGATGAGAAGCAGTGAGTTAGGGCTTAGGGGGGTTTGGGGGGGAGGGGTGGGGTGGGGGGGTTGGGAGGTGAAGGTTGGGTGCTGGCTTCCAGGCTGTGTGCGAGCGTGTTGTGGATCTCCTTGGGATTGTACTTGTACTGCGTTTGCTGCGGTAAGCTGTGGGC